ACTTCCCCAGGAGAAGGGATGTTTATGTTCAGAGTGCAAGAATCTTCATTACCTTGCCTTTTCCCCTCTTTCCTTCCCTTTCTTCCTCTCTCCTTTTTTCTTTCCATTCTTCCTTCTTTCTTTTTGTTCCCTGACTCTCTCTTACGAGCTTTCTTCCTGTGGCACAGACGATCCTGCCAGGATCTCCTGGGTGTCAGGGAGGGAAGGCAAGTCAGTGAGAGCTGGGGCCGCCCCTTCTCTTGCAACTCTCACTGGGGCAAAGCCCACAGCCCGGTGTCAGTAAACACACCCAGGTTGCAGATACTCTAGCACTGCTGGGAAAGAAGAGAGGGGCTTTTGGGTCTCTCATTTCCTGTCCGTTAAGAGTTATCATTCTTAACCAAGATTTGGGGCCAAAATTGGGGCCTGATTCAGTGATGGAAACCCCAAGCTTCAAGGCTGGGCTGGTGCAATCCAGGGCGGGATTGTGGACAGGAAGTGGTGAGTCTGCATGGTGGGAAGGAAGGGCTTCCTCCCTCTGACACTTTCTATGCCTGGGGGACCTTTCTCAGCCTGCCTCCCTACCCCCCAGCCCAGCAGCCAGCCACTTGTAGACTTCATGCAAATGCCCAGCACAAGGCCTGGCACATAGCAGAAGTGTGAATACAAGCAAGCATACCCAGTCCTCAGCAACTGGTCCACGCCCCACATCCCTCCTGGAAAAATATAATAGTTTCTCGAGCTTATACAGGAGTTTTACTTTTTCAGAGTAGTAGTAGCTCACTGAATATTTGGTTTTCGGAATTTTTGTCTGATCTCCAATGAGGGACTTGACCCCCAGCACCCTGGGCTATCCTGGACTACCCTAGTTTTGGTTCCCTGCCTCCAAATTTACTGGTTTAACATCAAAAGTGGAGACAGTCTTGATCCTCCCTAAATTGTAGCTCAACCTCAATGAATACACAGCCTCTAGATAGGAACCCCCCGCCCCAGCTCAGCAGCTAATTTGAAGTAAGTTCTTGATAGCACAGGAAGCAATTAGCATATTGGGGCAAAGTGGCTGGTTGTGAGGGATATTTAGGAGACAAAATTGACAGGACTTGGTAGATTAGCCTGGGAACACAGAGGAATCATATATGACACATAGGTTTCTGACCAGGTAGATGATGGAGTCCTTTATTGAACAGGTAAAAACAGACTGAGAAGTGTGTTTGAAAGAAAGACTATGTGATCACGAGTACAGCTTGGAACACACTGAGTAGGATAGGTTTGTGAAATGTCCTCTTGGGGACAACTAACAGGCAGCCGAATGGATATGCAGGTCTGCTCTTGGGACAGAATCGGGTTCTGGGCACAAATGTGGATGCTATCAGTATAGGGATAGATGGTGACTGAGAGGAAGAGACGTAGAAGCCAGTGTCACAGGCTGCTGGGAAGTAAAGAAAGTAGATAGAGCCTGAGATGTGCCCATTAGATTCAGCAACCAGAGCTTACAGGTAACCTCCAATGGGCGGTTTCAGGGAGGTGGTAGGAGCAGAGTCTGACAGCACTCACCAAACCCAGTCCCTCCACCCCCCAAGCACCTGGCTAAATTTCCTCTCCCTTGTAGCTGGTGAGGCCATGTGACTGAGTTCTGGTTAATGGACTGGGGGTGGGAGGTAGGAGCAGAGTCTGACAGCACTCACCAAACCCAGTCCCCCCAACCCCCAAACATCTGGCTAAATTTCATCTCCCTTGTAGCTGGTGAGGCCATGTGACTGAGTTCTGGTTAATGGACTGGGGGTGGGAGGAATGACACACAGTCACCCCCAGGACATAGCCCCTTGCACCATCCTCCACAGACCCTCCCCTCCCCAGCCTCCCAGTCAGAGTAGAGAAGCTGGGGCGACTCCAAGGCCTTGGGGACACAGAGCAAATGAAAGGAGATCGGTCTCTGGATTATTATGTGGAGCCAGGGGATTATATGAAGTCAAGCTGGACAGGGCTTAAGAAAGTCAGGCCAGCAGGCATGGACACCTGGAGTCAGCTGTGGAGTGGAGGAGCAGCCAGCAGAACAGCAGTGACAGTAGTTGTCAGAGCAGGTCAGCAGTCAGGGCAGCTGGATTTTGGAAGTCAGTCAGCGAGAAGGGTCCACAAGCCTGGAGAACATGGAAGTTCTTCAGGGTCAGGTTGAGACCCTGCAGGGCCAGAAAGTGCTGGAGTTGAAAGACAACAGCAGGAAAACATCAGCATATACAAGACACACCCTTTATGTGCTCAGACTCACAGCCACGTTGGCCACTCGAATATGGCCCTGAGTCCCCTCTTCACGGACAGGCTGTTCACCTGGACTATGCAGTCTCGGCCAGCCTATGCTGACAGAAGGACATGCCATATTTAGACACCAGCTGAGTAGGAGCCAGCTCACCTGGCTTCAGCCTGGTTCTATGAATTCAACAGTGGACCAGGAGTCAGACCACCTGTCGTTTCAGCCTGGATCTCCTGCTCACCTATGGCTGACCTTGAGCGAGTCCCTTCTCCTCACTGCACCTGAGCCTCATCTGCAAAGGGAAGAAGTCAGACTGGATGATTTTAATGTCTCTTGTACTAAAAACTTGTACCATTCTCCTGAACCAGCTACATTAGGGAAGCTTTGGCTGGTACTCCAGCAGGCGTTAGCACTGTTCTCCATCACCAGCCTTCCAATGCCTTGACAAGGGACATTCTTGCAGCCTTCAGCCTGTGCAAGTTAGAGGAGAACAGGCAGACGTCCAGTAGTAAAAGAGGAAGCCTCCCCAGGAAGGGGGAGCTTGTGGAGAGTAACCCATATTAATGTTGAATGGGAGTCAGCAAGTTCTTTACCTCTGGGAGGGCTGCAGTCTATTTTCTTCCTTACTTTCTTTTTTAACTATCTATATTTACAACAAAGCATTTTCCTTTCTGTTCCCATTTCTTGTTCCCTTTATGATGGGATGGCTCCACCCTTTGCAACCCCTTCTTGTTCCAGGGAAAAAGAGATTTGGAGGAGGATAGGAAGTGTCTTCCTAATTTACTTTCCTCGCTGGGGCCAACTTCAACTTGGGTTGACCCTGCTTGTCCAGAAAGAATAGAGTCAAATAGGACCTTCATAGAGAAAGTGCTCTTTTCATCTACTTGAATATTTGTTTCACTAAGGGGACAAGATTTCCCCACTCAATCATGACTCAGACTGATATGAATTTGTTCTCTGATCCAAAACCTTCTTATGGAATGGGAACGTGACCTGGGAGTGGACAGGGCAGCTGAGGAAACCAACTTGGAATGGAATATCTGCCGTGACAGCCCAGCAGGGGTGTGAGAGTTGACCGATGGAGGGCTACACAAAGCCTCAAACACCTGGCACACCCCCTCGTGACCCAGCTGGGTCAAAGACTTCCCAAAGCCCAGGAGTGGCAGGGAAGACCCACTGGCCTCTGCTCCACCAAGCCCCCCCTCCTTCTCTACCATGGAGGTGGTTGTGGGGGAGATAAACAGGATGGGCAGCAAGACCCATGAGCCACAAAACCACCTGAGCAGACAGAGGACAACCGTCCAGGAAGAGGAAATGTACTGTGCCTCTAAATTCCAACAACTTTGGAAAGGAGAGAATCACCTTTATTATCCAAGTTCTAGAGGATGCGATTCTGCATAACAGCAGAACCTACTAGCTGCCAAAGGTATGAGAAGTGCCTCCTGAGGCGGCCCTCGCACCGTATCTGCTCTGGGCTGAGAGGCAGGGCCTGCAGGTGTCGTGTCTGCTGAGGGAGGACACGGTGGCCCAGGAGGGGACCTGACCACAGGTCTTCCCATGTGCAGCTCCGGAACGAAGCACTTCCTCCCAGATTCAAAAACAACTGAGGCTCCTCGCTGGGCAGAGGAGTGTCCTGGGGCCTCATCGGGGCAGGCAGCCAGCCACAGGGTCCGGCCGGGGCAGTGGCACAAAGTTCATGGGACAGAGCAGCAGTGGGCATGTCTTCTCGTGCTCCTTTAGCACCGCACTCAGGTGCTTTATCTCCTCCGTCAGCTTCCCGATCTCTCTCCGCAGCACTGTGTTTTCTTGCTCCAGGCACTCATGTTCCTGCAGAAGACACAGAATGGACAACATCGTTTCTGAAACCGTATTCCTTTCCTCTGTCATCTCAGCAGCTCAAACCCTCACCACGATGCTCACCTCCTGCCCACCAAAGCCTCATCAGCACCCAGGGCCTCTACCACTCAGATTTGCTTATCTGCTTGATCTCTCTCTGCTCCCGCTGGAATGAAAGAATCATGAGGGCAGGGCTTTCTTTTCTGAATCAACTTTATTGAGGTATAATTTACATAAAATAAAGTGCATCTGTTTTAAATGTATAGTCCAATTAGTTTTGACAAATGTATACCCCTGTGTCGATCAATATATAGAACATTTCCATCACTCCAAAAAGTTCCCTCGGGCCCCTTTGCAATCAGTCCCCCCAACTGCTGATCTGCTTTCTGAGAGTCTCTGTTGGGTTCATGGTTATACCTGGGACCTAACAAATGCTTGTCGGTTGCACAAATAAATGAATGAAAGCATCGCTTGCCTTGGCTTTGCTCCAGCTTCATCTGTTGAGTTTCTACTATATCAGGGTTTACAGAGGCTTTGAACTGGACAGCACCAGAGGGACCACTTAGCCCAAACCACGCCATGTAGAAACCTTCCATGTGTAATTCTAGCCCAGCCATCCAACTTGTGCTGGGCACTCCCACCTTCAAAGAACAGTCTTGTCTTTTCTGAGCTGCTCTATTAGAAAGCTCCTCTTTGTACTGATCTGACATCTCTCTCTCCTTCAAACCCACCTTTTGGGCTTGGTTCCACCTCACGGAACCACATAGAGTAACTCCACTACTTTTTTCAACATCACAGTTCTTGAAATGTTAGGAGACAGCCCTGTACCACTTCCCCTTAGGTATTCTCTGAGCTCAATTGTCTCAGGCCTTCTGAGCTCCTGTGTCAGGACTTCCAACCCACCCACCCTCCTGGAAGCCATCCCCGGCACGCACTCCAATTTGCCAGAATCTCTGAGAAAATGTTGCTCCTAGAATGCAGTGCATGATGCTGGGGACCATGCAAAGGGCAAATGCATGGCAGAGGCCTCCCTGTGCTGGACCAAGCAGCTGGGGATTCTCCCTGAGCTTGCAGAGAAGTGCAATCTCTGTTCGCATGTGCTGCTTCTCTGTCTATACTCAGACAACGATTGATGTTTTGAAGCTTCAGGTTAGGGCTTTACATCTGTCTCCACTGAATTTCACTCTGTTCATTTGGGCATCTTAGAGCCTGGCAAAATCTTTTAAATCTCAATTGTGTCATCTCACGGTTGTGTGACACCACACAGCTCTAAGCTGTCCACTAACTTGATAAGCAGGTCTGCCTTTCCTTTGTCCAAGTCATTAATGAGTTTTACAGCACACAGCCAGTTGCAGAACCTTACGGAATGCCAGTTGACACCACACAGCTCTAAGCTGTCCACTAACTTGATAAGCAGGTCTGCCTTTCCTTCGTCCAAGTCATTAATGAGTTTTACAGCACACAGCCAGTTGCAGAACCTTACGGAATGCCAGTAGAGACCCTCTCTAGGCTGACAATCTTATTAAAATCTTGCTGAAATGTTATTTTCATCCATTTCTAGCCTGCTTCATCCAGGCAGGCTTTGTTGTCCCATGCATACCAGGCATTCCTTGAGCTGGGGACTCCACCTTATTACCCACCACATCTTCTCTCTTACTATTAATTTTTAAGAAATATCACTAAAGAAGTCTTACTTCTTACAGCCACTAAAGACACATGCAAATTCTCTACCCTGCCCCTTTGAGTATGCAGTTCTCCCCAGCTGGACTGCCCTTCTTTTCTGTGTGGGCCCAGCTCAAGCCCACCACCTCCATGAAGGCCTCTCTGATCACTGCACCTATAGCAATCACATCTTTTATTAGGTGTTCTATTCAAGGTTATACCACGTTCAGTCTCACTTACAGTAAATAAAGTGTAGCACCTGGGAGCTTCTGCTGCCCTCTCGTGTGCCCCGGCCTGATGGGACCCAGCGCCAGCATCTATGTGCTTGGTGAGCCCTCGGCCATCATCCTCTGGCTTCTTCTCTTACCCCTTCCTTCCCTCCCTTCCCTTCTAGGCATGTTCCTCTCCTTCAGGACCAAGGGCCCGGAGGGGCTGCATGCAGAGCCCATCAGAGCCGCTCCTTTGCCTCCTGCCCACTGCAGGCAGCTCCCGGGGCATCTGCAACACTCCCCAGGGCTGCAGGCCTCAGGCTTCCCCGGCAGGTTTCCCTGGGTCATTTTGGCTTCACCAGCACATTGTCCCATTCTGCCTTCGGCTGCCTCCTGGCCGACCACCCCCAGCGCCTCCCACTCTCCTCTGGTTTCTGACAAGACACTCTGAGTTGCAGAGCTTTGTCTCTGGAAGCCATGAGGAGTCCTGAGGCCTCATGCCTTCCTGGGATGCCTCTGCTTCCCCTAATCCCCTGCTCAAAAAGTCTTCAAAGCTGCCATCATGGGCCACCAAGCGGGCCCCTCATCTGCCTTCCCCGCAGGGACATTCTCTTTTGGGATTTAAGTTTTACTCATAAATCCGCTGAAGGACTTTTATTGAGCTGAGGGAATAAAATGGAGAAAAAAAGTCAGACTCCTCACGTGATACCAGTTCCACAAAAACAAAAAGAATTGCTAGGAGGGGAGGAAGAAGCGGCTAGAGAACACCAAATGGGAACAAAGGGTAAAGTGAAAGCCACTGCACACCGACAGAGATTACTGGACTCCTCCTGAACAAAAAATAAACAGAAACATTAACTCCTCTGGATTTCTAAAGAGCTGATCAGTCTGGCTCAATCCTGCCAAGTTTTGAGTCCTTTGCCACAGGAGGGTTGAAGTATTTGCCAGAACATGGTTTCAAAGCACAGACCTAAAACTTAGAGGTGGTAAAATCTCTGCGACTTCCAGTTCTCCCTCAGAAATTACGCTGCCAAAGAAGTGGTTCTCAACCGGGTCACTTTGGCAGCCCCCAGGGGACATTCGGCTGTGTCTGGAGACAGTTGTGGTTATCACAGCTGGGGGCGGGGGTGCTACTGCACCCAGAGGACAGAGGCCAGGATGCTGCTCAGTGTCCTACAGTGCACAGGACAACCCCCACCACAAGAATTATCCAGCCGCACATGTCAACAGTGCTGAGGGTGGGAAACTGTTCTGAGTATCTAAGGGTGAGGGGCTGTCTGGGTGCACGCAGGTTAGGGAGCCTCTGAG